AAAGGATCTGGTTCAGATGCTTTTCGTGTCAGTGTTTCAAGTGCCCCTAGTACTTCGAGTCATGGATCTGCACCAGATGACTATGATGCCCTGGGGGATGTATACATATGGGGCGAGGTTATCTGTGATCATGTTAAAATTGGTGCTGATAAAAATGTCAATTATTTCAGCCCAAGGGCAGATGTACTTCTCCCTAGACCACTGGAAGCCAATGTAGTTTTAGATGTGCATCATATAGCATGTGGTGTTAGACATGCTTCTCTAGTCACTAGGCAAGGTGAAGTTTTTACATGGGGCGAAGAATCAGGAGGACGCCTTGGTCATGGTGTTGGGAAGAATTTGGTTCAACCTCGTCTAGTTGAAGCGTTGACTTCTACAACTATTGATTTTGTTGCCTGTGGAGAGTTTCATTCATGTGCTGTTACAATGGCTGGGGAACTATACACATGGGGTGATGGTACACATAATGCAGGGCTTCTTGGTCATGGAAGTGATGTCAGCCATTGGATACCAAAGAGAATTGCCAATTCATTAGAGGGACTTCAAATTGCATTTGTTGCTTGTGGTCCATGGCACACAGCGCTGATAACTTCAACAGGGCAGCTGTTTACATTTGGGGATGGAACATTTGGTGTCCTGGGCCATGGAAATAAGGAAAATGTTTCATATCCTAAAGAAGTGGAATCCTTGTCTGGACTGAGGACAATAGCTGTAGCATGTGGGGTGTGGCATACTGCAGCTGTTGTAGAAGTTATGGCAACACACTCCAGTACAAGTGTATCATCAGGTAAATTGTTTACTTGGGGTGATGGAGACAAAAATCGCCTTGGACATGGGGACAAGGAGGCACGTCTTAAACCAACTTGTGTGCCTGCGCTTATTGATTACAATTTTCATAAAATTGCTTGTGGACACAGTTTGACAGCAGGCCTGACAACATCTGGACGTGTTTTTACTATGGGAAGTACTGTTTATGGTCAACTTGGGAATCCCCAGTCTGATGGGAAGCTTCCATGCTTGGTTGGAGACAAGATTGCTGGGGAATGTGTTGAAGAAATTGCTTGTGGTGCGTATCATGTTGCTGTATTAACATCCAAAAATGAAGTTTATACTTGGGGGAAAGGTGCAAATGGGAGATTGGGTCATGGAGATATCGAAGATCGAAATACACCAGCTTTGATTGAAGCACTGAAGGATAGACATGTGAAATATATAGCTTGTGGTTCAAACTACTCTGCTGCCATATGCCTTCATAAGTGGGTATCTGGTGCCGAGCAGTCTCAGTGCTCTACTTGTAGGCAGGCGTTTGGCTTTACAAGAAAGAGGCATAATTGTTATAACTGTGGATTGGTCCACTGCCATTCGTGCAGTTCAAGGAAAGCATTAAGAGCAGCATTGGCTCCTAATCCCGGCAAGCCATATCGTGTGTGTGATTCTTGCTATGTAAAATTGAACAAGGTTGCTGAAGCTAGCAATAGTAATAGAAGGAATGCCTTGCCTCGTTTGTCAGGTGAAAACAAGGATAGACTAGACAAATCTGATCTGAGATTATCCAAGGCAATAATTCCTTCTAATGTGGATTTGATAAAGCAACTAGATAATAAGGCAGCCAAGCAAGGAAAGAAAAATGATACATTCTCTCTGGTACGCACCTCACAACCACCTTCTCTGCTACAGCTGAAAGATGTTGTCATGTCCACTGCTCTTGATCTGAGACGAACAGTCCCAAGACCGGTGGTTGCACCATCAGGAGTAAGTTCCAGATCTGTGTCACCTTTTTCGAGAAGAACAAGCCCCCCTCGCTCAGCTACTCCAATTCCAACAACTTCAGGACTTTCCTTCTCGAAAAGTATTTCTGATAGCTTGAAGAAGACAAATGATCTTTTAAATCAAGAAGTGCAGAAGTTACATGCTCAGGTGCATTCTTGCTTTCTTTCTCTCATATAAATGAAGTAGTAGAGCTTTCCTTCTTTGACACGGTGCAGTTATCCTACCGATTTTGAGCCCTACCAAAACACAGTCACTGTCACTTTGCTTAAATTGCTAGAAAGTTAATGTCACGTATATATAAATATATGCTGTTTCTTTCACTTCTTGTGGTATCAAAACAAGTCTAATTATAGAGATCCTTAGGTTGAGGGCCTGAGACAGAGATGTGAACTGCAAGAATTAGAGCTTCAAAGGTCAGCAAAAAAGACTGAAGAAGCTATGTTACTGGCTGCTGAGGAATCTGCAAAATGTAAAGCTGCAAAAGAAGTTATAAAGTCACTCACAGCACAGGTATTTTTTTGTTAATTTACTTCTCTTGGAGCCAGATGTCTTTTACTCTGGTTTATTTTCATGTGTTGCTATATTATTTGTAACCTGATGCCAACTTTCCTGCATTGACAAAATGAACATCATGATTAAACCATCTATCAAGTTGAAGTTTATGTTTATAAATTTTCTTAACTGTAGCAATAAGAGTTAAGAATTATCTTTCATTTCCAGTTTTTATTTTTTGCTTTTAGTTTAACTGTATATTAAAAATTGCATTGCTTTATCTGTTGGGACATATACACACAGGTTTGAGTCTCAATGCATTTATTTTTCAGAATTATTTTACATCTTATCATACTGTTTATTTTACGCTTATACTGATTGCCCATCAACATTCTTTTAGCTCAAAGATCTAGCCGAGAAGCTTCCTCCTGGAGTTTATGATACTGAGAACATAAGACCAGCTTACCTACCAAATGGTCTTGAGCCAAATGGCATCCACTATCCAGATTCAAATGGGGAGCAGCAGCACTCCAGAGCAGAGTCAATCAGTGGCTCTAGTTTGGCTTCCATGGGACTTGAATCCTCTCTACTGAATAGAACTGCGCGGAATTCACCAGGAACCAATGGAACTAATCTTCACCAGCAAATCCGGAGCCCTGTGATCTCTAATGGGACCAATACTTATCCAGATGTTAAATTGCCAAACGGTGGTGGTGTAATTCATGCAGGTAGCGGTAGCACAGCTGATGATGGTAGGGATTCTGGGAATTTTCACAATGACGAGAGTGGTCTGAAATCAAGGAATGCTGTACCTGCTGCTAATACTAATCAAATTGAAGCAGAATGGATTGAACAATATGAACCTGGTGTCTACATAACACTTGTGGCACTGCGTGATGGAACTAGAGATCTGAAGCGAGTACGCTTCAGGTAAGCAAAAATCTTCCACTTGAACATGTTATCTGTATCTGGTTTACTTGCATATTTGTCTGTTCAACTGTTGGTGGGCATGTGGAATTTGAAAATATGAACTTTAACTATGTGTTTTCATCTTTACATGGGTTGGTCTAACTTGGTCTCATACATTATTGTTATTGCTTAAAACTGAGATGTTTTTTCTTGTAACCTTTGTTTATATGTATACTCTCTTTGATGGTAAATGTAACTGCAGCCGAAGGAGATTTGGAGAGCACCAAGCAGAAACCTGGTGGTCGGAGAACCGGGACAAGGTATATGAAAGATACAATGTTCGCAGTGCAGACAAACCTGCCGGCCAGGCGGCACGTAGTTCAGAAGGGGCTGGTTCACCTGTTTCCCAAACTTAGGAGTAGGGAGAGGAAAGCCCTCCATTAACATTTTATCACACTGAGCAACACTATAGGGAAGCAAGAAAGCATTTGAGGAATCCTTGTTTGTTGGTGGTTCTTATGTCTATCCCTATTCTCTTCTCAGTCTTCTTTTACCCCTTGCCTCATTCCCTCTTTAAACTAATTGTCTTCCATTTAATCTGGGAAGATGCCCTTTACATTTTGTAGTGTAGTGTATATAAAATCACCAGTTCTGATCATTTTGACCAAGGAACTACCCTTACCCATTTCTCCTTCCATTTTCTTGTTCTCATTTATTTCCATCACACCTTTCTTTGTACCTGGTGACACTTGCAATTTCATTCATTCA